AGATCCCAAGAGGAGAAGGGATTGCGGCGTGACCATCCCCCCTGAGGGGTGATTTCTTGCTTTCTGTCTCTAATGTCTCTGTCTGTCTGGCGAGTGCATGCGCCCTATAGCAAAATCCTCTCCAAAAAAAGAAAATGGGTTCTGTTCTGTTTGTGCCATTGGTTACTTTCATGACTTTGCCTTTGTTTCCTCATCTAAAATAAGTGCTCTTGAAGGTCCCATGAAGATAGCATTGTATGATTTTTTTGATTCCTGTTTTACATAGCATTTTAGGGGAAAGACACTTGATTAAAGTCTTCAAATTAATTAAAAAATAGACATCTCCAAATTACTAGTGTGAGAATTTGTCAAAGAGTATTTATTGATTTTCTTTACTAACAAGAATTTTTAATTACATGCCAGTGGGTATTGAGAACAGTTTAGGGACATTCACCCACAGTCAGCTGATATTTAGCTGACTGCAGAGAAGTCATGTGTTTTGAATATAAGAATAGGCACTTTCAGATGTTCTGAGTGCCAGTAATTAGAGTAAGCCTTAATCCACTGTGCTAAAAATAACCAAACATACCTTCTTACTAGTCTATTATTAATTTTATTTCAGATTTAGACTTACAAATATTCACTAAGAGAACAAAATGAGCTCATTATTGAATTTTTAAAAACCATTTGGTCCTAAAAATAGGGAGTACACTTCAGGTTCTCTTGGTAATCTTTTACTGAATTAGTGTGACATGTTTTATTTCTCTCCTTCAAAGCTTTTAAAATACTGCTTTGATCATATTTTAATTTTTGCCAGGTGTAGGATTACCTTAATATAGTTGCTGGCTATAGTTTTTAATATAAAACTTTGTTTCTGGGCAGGTTACTTAAGCCGAGGTCTCCTATAAATGCAAGTAATAATGGTATCTCTAGTAGGATCGTTGTGGGGATTAAAATGGTAAGAACCTGAACTAACAGTTAATGCCTCACTTAAGAATGAGAACTCAGTGAACGGTTCCTGTTTCTGTGCTTTTCTTTTTAAGCTTACTGAAAAAGCACTGCATTCTTATAGTGATAGCCAGCTGTTCACCTCTCATGAAGAATTCTTTAATTTGATGGCCCCTTTTCCATTCTGAGTGAAAGAAAACATTTAGGTCATATTCTTAGTTTTATTTTGTTTTGCTTTTTCATTACTGGTTGGTGGCCAGACATGGTGATTTTGTTCTGTTTTCCAGAGGCTATGTGTGCTTGCTGGAGAGACAGAGACACAGTTTTTTTTGAGAGAAAGCACCCTCCTGGTCACTCTGTAGTCCCTTCTCCATTTTTTTCTCCTCTCAGGATTTTGGACATATATACATATGCACCTGGTATGTTTTTCAAGCCATTGGGTCTAGTACTTGACCTGTGTGGTTGACCATGTGGGATCCAGCTGCCTTAACTACCTTATCTCCAACTGGTCCCGGTTTTTTGGGTAATTTTTATTTTAATTGCTATAGGGCATGTATGCTTGTCAGAGAGAGAGAAAGAACGAACCCCTCAGTGGGGCTTGGTCATGCCACAATCCCTTCTCCATTTTTTTATTCCAGCAGGCTTTTGGGGACACACACACACACACACACACACACACACACCTACCTTGGCATGTTCTTCAATTCACAAGGGCTGGAATTTGAATGGCAGTTGGCTCTGTGGGATCTGGCGTCCTTAACCACTAGGCTACAGGGCCAGCCTTAGACCTGATGATTTTTAAATTATTGTTTTCAAATGATTTATATAATTTAGGACCTTTGACTAGAACCTTTTATTTGTAAGTAAAAAAGCAGTACTATGGGTAAGGAGCAAATATGGTACAAACACTATTTTATTAATAGTATTGAGGAAATTTAAAAAATAAGAGTAAAAGAAATGAATTCAAAACTGTTAGTAAGCTCTGTGTTAATGTACTAATTTAGTTTTCTGTTCATGTCAGCTAGTTGTATCTGGTTTTTGTTTGTTTGTTTTTTGTAGATTTTTGCCATAGGGTGCTTGTGCTTGCTGGACAGAGAGAAGGGGAAAATGAGAAATAACCCCCTGGGGAGGGATGGCTATGCCACAATCGTTCTCCTTCATTCTTCATTCAGAACTTTGGGAATGCACCCACAAGTACCCAGGATGTTTTTTTCAAGCCGCCAGGTCTGGAGTTGGCCATGTGGGATCCAATGCCTTAAGCACTGTGCCTCTTCCTGGCCCCCGTATCTGGTTTTCAGCCTACCATTTATTGATATATGTGAGCCTCTTTTAGCTTGTTTTCTTAATTCGAGGAATTATTTGTGTCACTTTTTCCAAATTCAGAATTCTGTTTTCTGAGCATTGGAAGTAAGGATGGAGAATTAGAAAATCCTGTTGCAGGAAGCACTTTGTTCAAGTTGGAGGTCATGTCCTGTTATGATTTATTCCCTTCACTATGGTAAATGAACACATTTGAATGCCTACTGTCTATGACTACAGGAGACCCATCATTTTAAATAACAAATTTAGAAGTCAGGAAGAATGGGCATGCAAAAACTCATGATATACATTACAAGAATATTGGTGTGGCAGAGTGGAAAAGAGTCTGGAGTTAAGGTCAGAAGATTGGATTTCTTGTCCCAGTGCTACTGTTTATAAATCCTATACTCCTGGGGCTCAGTTTTTATTTTTTATTTTCATTCTTTGCTTTTTTGAAATCTATAATCAAGGATGATAGTCCTCAATGTTGAAAAGCTCAAATAAGATAAAATGTTTTTGATAATAATGAAATTAATACTGTTAGGTAAGTACTAGTTTTTTTTTCTTTTTTTTTTTTAACCAAAGAGCAGGAATTCATTGAATCACTAAACTGAAGTCGTGTGTTATTCTCTATATTATTCTACACTATTAAAATTAACATTATGAGCAGTAATTGTCTGTTGTGTTTTCTGAAAGTCATTTAAGTGCTCTGCAGTAAAAAGTACAATTTCAACTGAAATTTGTTTAGGTTTCCATGATCAGAAAGCTTAAATACACTTACAGCACTTAAAAAATGTTCTTTCAATGCTCCTCAAATGACTTGCTATGCCTCAAAGTTGTTCATGAATAAAGTTGGGCTCCCTTAGGTCAAACATACCCTAAGCTAATCCCATAGGCTATACTCCTCATTTGGAGAATTTGAATTGCCCAACTTTATTCCTTCTTCACATAACCTGCGTTTCAGTTTAATGGTGTGAAATTAGAATATTTGAGGAAAAGTTTCAGTTTCCTTTAAATCATAGGAGCTTTCTGTTTTCATTTAACTTTTTGTAATAATTTAAAGCAGCCATTCTTTTCTTGGGATTTATTTCATAATCCTAGAAAAAAAAATTGTGATAGGGTCTACAGTCCTAATCCTCCTGCCTCAGCCTCCCAGCTGGGACTGCAGGCATGTGCCACCAACACACTTAGCTCTTTGCTAGATAGGATCTTGGTAAGTGGTCTAGGCCAGCCTCAAGCTTGTTGTTTTTCTGCCTCAGCCTCTCTGAGTCACTAGGATTGTAGGTACATGCTACCCAGCCTTTAGGTTGAACTGGGAATTGAATCCTGGCCTCTGTGTGGTCCCAATCTGCAGAGTAGATTTTTTTTTTAAACTTTTTGCTATGGAGTATGTTGCCGGAGACAGAAACAGAGAAAGAAAGAGAAAGTAAGAAAGCACTCCTCAGGGGGGATGGCCATGCCACAATCCCTTCTCCATTCTCCTCTGGGAATTTTGGGCACATATGCATACATATCTAGCTTGTTGATTTCAAGTCATTGGGTCCAGGACTGAAACTACACTGTAGGCCACATGGAATCCAGTGTTTTAACCACCACACTACTATCTGGCCCCCAAACCTCCTGGGTTTTTTTGTTTGTTTGTTTGTTTGTTTGTTTTTAAGAGAGATTTTTGCTGTAGGGCACATGCACTCGCCAGAGAAACAGAAAGCAAGAAGTCACCCACCAGGGAGGATGGCCACACTGTAACCCTTTCTCCTGTACCCTCCTCTTGAGATCTTGGGCATGGATGGACACACACCTGGCTATTGAGTTTTAAGCCACCAGGTCTGACACTCAACCATGGTTGACTATATAGGAGTCCAGTGACATAACCATTATGCCATCTGTTGGTCCCCTCCTTTTTAAAAACAATTCTATGTTATTAGAAGTGAAGATAGTAGTTACCTTTTGAAGTGAGAGGTTATGACTAAGAGGATTGCCAGGGTTCTGTAGTGTTCTGTTTCTTGATCTGAGTGCTAGTACATAGATGAGTTAAACTCACTGAGCTTTTACAATTTGAGGTCTTCTCTGTGTGTCTGTTGTATTTCAATAAAAAGTTATAATGTATTGACCTCATGTTGAAAATACCTTCAGATACTCTTTCAGTTGGATGGTTTATTTTCTTTCCTATTTACTTGTTTGAAGTAATCACATGTTGTATTTTATTTTAATTTAGTAAACTTAAAAAAAAAAAAGGTCAGCTCTGTTTTGAACTACTCAGAGCAAAGAGCCTGAAAGGAAGAAGAGCAGAATCAGTTATTCTGTCTTGTGGTATGAGTGAGTTATTTTTTTCCCCTTTTCTTGCCTATGCTTTTTAAAATTTCTTTTATGCATTTGTTACTGTTGTAGTCTAGGAAAAAATAATCTGTATTATTGTTAAAGAAGAAATATGGGACCAGCAGTTGGCATAATGGCTATGTCTCTTGACTCCCATATAGTCAACTATTGTTCGAGTCCTGGGCCCAGTAGCTTAAACTCATGTGTGTGTGTGCCCAAGATCCCGAGAGGAGAATGGAGGAGAAGGGATTGCTGCATGGCCATCCCTGGGGGCTGATTTCTCGCTTTCTGTCTCTCTCTTTTTGTCTTTCTGGTGAGCACATGCACCCTATAGCAAAAACCTCTCAAGAAGAAGAAGAAATAAACTGTGTAAGCATGTTTGATAATAGTATATGAAAATATATTTAGAAAATATGAGTATAGGATAACTTTTTTTCCACATTTGTATTTTGTTACAGATATGCTAGTCTGTATTTTTGCTGTGCTATCGAGGATCAGGACAATGAACTAATTACCCTGGAAATAATTCATCGTTATGTGGAATTACTTGACAAGTATTTTGGCAGTGTGAGTAGTATTCTATTTTCACAAACTGAATGCTATAGCATTTTTTTAATTGTTTTTCTAAGTGTATCATTTGGTTGTCTTGGGTATTCTAATTACAGAAGAGGGCAAGAATGGCTGTTTCTTGTCAGTAAGCCTAGTCAGTTAACTGCCAGAGTTACAGGTCCTACAGACCTATTAATTTAATTATAATATGAGGACGAGGTTTAAAATAGTGAAATAAAAAGTCTGATGGCAAACATTAATATTCTGGAAGCACTTAGTATAGAATTTAGATTTTGTTAACAGTTCTAATCATATTATTAAGGAAATATGTGTTTAAAGATCAATGTTTATGAGCAGAAAATTACCAAATTGTTCATGTTGGGAGCATGCCAAGCCAAGTCTTATTTAGCCTACAGATGTGTTTTCAAGTATAAGGGGTCTTCAGAAAGGAAAATGTGTGTTAGGAAAAAAGTATGCATGGGTTTTGTACCAGAATAAACTCTGTAAATCTATTTTTCTACAAACTTAAAAAAAAAATTGCTAGAGGGCATGTGCACTTGCTGAAGAGACAGAAGGAAAGTGAGAAAGCCCTCATGCAGAATGGTCATGTCATAGTCCCTTCTCCATCTCTCCCTTCTTTTAGGATTTTTGGCACATGCATCTGGCATGTTTCTCAAGCTGCTGAATCTAGGACTTGAATCGTAGTTGACTGTGTGGGATCCAACTGCCTTCATCATGCCACTGGTTGGCCCCTCCACAAACTTTTTGAGGTCTCCTCGTACTTGTGATATGACAGTTAAGCCTACTTAAATCAGTGATGCTTAGTCAACATGATTGCCACTTTTAGGGAAAATTAGGATAGATTCAACCTGGTCACATTTTATTGACTACCTGATAGTAAATAAACATCTTTGCTTGCTTGCTTGCTTTTTGAGAGATTTTTGCTATATGGCACATGCACTTGCTGGGGAGACAGAGACAAACAAAGTGAGAAATCACCCCCGAGTGGGGACGGCCACACCACAGTCCCTTTTCCTCCATTCTCCTCTCGGGATCTTGGGCACACATGCACAAATGCCCGGCATGAGTTTCAAGCCGCCGGGTCCAGGACTCAAAACACAGTAGAGACTACATGTGAGTCCAGTGATTACACCATTTGCTGGTCCCTGCTTTCTTGTTTTAATAGATTTGTTCATTCATTCATTCATTCATTTGCTTTTCAGGTGTGTGAACTTGATATCATCTTTAATTTTGAGAAGGCTTATTTTATTCTCGATGAGTTTCTTTTGGGAGGGGAAGTTCAGGAAACATCCAAGAAAAATGTCCTTAAAGCAATTGAGCAGGCTGATCTACTGCAGGAGGTAAGCTACCCTTCTCTTGACTAAGCACTAGCATGTTTCATTCTCTCTGGGAAAGTCTCAGTCATCACTCTTACAGTTTCAGAAATTAGTCCAAAGCATGTTTGGCATGTAGTGTTCATGTGCAGTTTATTGGATTGGAATATGTGTCATTCACATCAACTCAGTTAACTATGGATGGATGGTTCACTTTGAAGATGGTATCAGTCAGGCCTTTTCTGGAGGACCTATATTTGGACCTCAAAACACTAGAGGCTAAACTTTTAGGGGCTATATTATTTTTAGAAAGGAAAAGATTGGTGAAAAGTAGCATTAAGTTGAGAACTTGCCAGCCATTGTTTTGAATTACTTATGATCACCTCCTTTTCATTAGTGTGGATAATCAGGAGTTGACTGTGAGACTGGCATTTTCATTCCAAATTGGTTCATATTTTCACGTCATGTCCATTAAATGCAAAGATAGGCAAATGAATGATAGTATTTTCTAATGATACTTTTAGTAGAACCCTCTAGTTTAATATTAGTAAAACTAACTAAAAAGTATTTGAAAAAAAAAATGTATTTGTACTTTTCTTTGCTCTTCTTAAATAACAAACCGTGTTCTGTCACACAGCTACATTCTTGTTTTATCTCTGTATCACAACAACTCCCTAGTTTTGTGTTGGGGAAACTAAAAACTTCTCTTTGCTCTTCTTAAATAACAAACCATGTTCTGTCAAACTACTACATTCTTGTCTTACTGCTATATACCCAGAACGTAATAACCTCCTTTTTTTTCTAATTCTTATAGTTGTCCTGGATTTATCATGTATTTGATGCTTATATACCTTCTATTTCTGAAATTTAGAAATCTCATGAATGAGACTACCCTTTTTTTTTTTTGAGAGATTTTCACTATAGGGCGCGTGCGCTCGCCAGACAGACAGAGAGAGACATAGAGACAGAAAGCGAGAAATCACCCCCCAGGGTGGATGGCCACGCCGCAATCCCTTCTCCTCCATTCTCCTCTCGGGATCTTGGGCACACACGCACACGCACCCGGCGTGAGTTTTAAGCCACCAGGTCCGGGACGTGAACTGCGGTCGACTACGTGGGAGTCCAGCGGCATAGCCATTACACTAACTGCTGGTTCCCAGAGACTACCCTTTTTTAAAAACTTAATGATATCCTAATTCAGGTACTAGATTGAATTACTCTTTAGAGCTTTAGAGTTAGGTAGTGGTTTTTAGCATACATAGCATGACAAAGGGTTGATAAATATTTTTGCAATGTAGTATGTTTTCCTCAAGGTTCTGATGTGTGTCATTTGTGTATGTAGGCATGCATATAAATAAAAGGTTTTGAATAGTTTTGGCCCACTGGTAGATCATCCAGCATTGAAAGTAAGGTTTTGTATTTCTAGTTTATTTTACCTCCTTGTTCATTACATAGTTTATCAGTTGTCTTTTTTTAATTCTTAAAGGAAACTTTAAATCCAATTTTTTAACATTTCTGCCATAACAGAAATGTCAAGTTTAAGGGAATGACATGAACAAGAGTAACTTTCTTTTTCTCCATTGTAACTTAACTGTTTGTATCTGGGCTGGTGTGGGGAACTACTCAGGAATCCTCCTGCACCAATCACCAACGAGGTCTTATGTAGGAATCTCTCAAAGTCGAAATGATATCATTTGTAATATACAGCTTTTTTTAAGTGTGACACAGTGCATTTAATGATCTTGTAGTTACCAGAAGAATGGCTAAGGGGCCTGCAGAAAGTGAGGTGTTTTATTGGCAGCCCTCATGCTGTTTGCTGTTCAGTAGTGAAATGAGCACAGGTGTTTGCCTTGTGTGTACAGTTTGCCATGGTGGTTTATTAATTGATTGCAAATAAGTCATTTTGGAGTTTTTTCTTAAACATCAGGTGTGCTGAATGTAAGTTCATATTCTGCTGTTGCAAAACTGATTTTAAAGTTAACACTTCTAAAAAAAAAGGGGGGGGGGACCAGCAGTTAGCATAATGGCTATGTCACTGGATTCCCATGTAGTCGACCACGGTTCGAATCCTGGACCCGGTGGCTTAAACTCAGATTGGGTGCGTGTGTGTGTGTGTGTGCCCAAGATCCTGAGAGGAGAAGGGATTGTGGTGTGGCCATCTCCGCCCCCCCAGGGGGGAGGGCTGATTTCTCGCTTTCTGTCTCTCTCTCTTTCTGGCGAGCGCATGCGCCCTATAGCAAAAACCTCTCCAAAGAAAAAAAGTTAACACTCACTTACTTTGCTGTCCATTAATCAGACTTTTAAAAAAAATTAGGTCAAAACCAGGATTAGGAATTGAGAATTTTTTTATATTTGTCACTTTTCCTAGACCACTTTTTTATTTCATTATTATGGGATTATATTCTGTTCTTTCAGAACCTGGTATTTCCTCCACGCTTAAAAAATTACTTTCTGATTAATTATATTTGCTTTAAAATATTTTTAGGGCCAGTTAGTGGCATGGTGGTTAAGGCAGCTGGCTCTCACATGGCCAACTGTGTGGTTTGAGTCCTGGCCCTGGTAGCTCGATAAACAAGCTGGGTGTATGTGTGTGTGCATGTGAGTGTGCCCAAAATCCAGAAAGGAGAAATGGAGGAGAAGGGATTACAGTTTGACCATTCCCTACTGGGGGAAGGGGTTGTTTCTCTGGTGAGCAAATGAGTTCCCTAGTAAATTCAAAATATATATTTTAAGTTATCAAAGTTCAGCTTTTAATTTTAATGTTTTTCCCAGAGAGTAATAGAACACTGATATCTCCTTTTTCCAGGACTGTTTTTTCAAATACTAGAAGGAAACCACCATAGACAGTGATGACAATGGTGCTAAGTTTACCTGGTATTATGTATTGAGTATTTAACATAACGGGATAAAACATTATTACAGGCCCGTATATGTGTGTGTGTGTGTGTGTGTGTGTGTCTCTCTTTATAGGAGTATTTAAATAGTATTGTGTCTCTCTTTTTTTTCTTTTTTAATTTGCCAGGGAGGGCATGCATGCCCTGGAGAGAGATAGACAAAGAGAGAAAGCAACCCAAATGGGGCATGATTACTGCATTCCCTTCTCCATTTCTCTTTCCTTTCTAGATTTTAAGCATGTACACATACTTGGTGTGTTTTTTAAGCCACTAAGTCCTGCACTTGAACTTTGTTGTTGGCCATGTAGGATCCAGCTCCTTAACCATGGGCTGGTCCCACCCTTATTAAAAAAAAAAAAAATTGACTGCTGTTTCAGTTCCTTGTCTTCAGAAGAGATCTTGGCCCTAGTTTTTGTCTATGCTTCTTTCACATTGTTTTTGTGTTTTTGGTTTTTTTTGTTTTTTTTTTAGAGGTTTTCGCTATAGGGCGCATGCGCTCGCCAGACAGAGAGGCAGAGAGACAGAAAGCGAGAAATCACCCCCCCAGGGGGGATGGCCACGCCGCAATCCCTTCTCCTCCATTCTCCTCTCGGGATCCTGGGCACACACGCACACGCACCAGGCATGAGTTTTAAGCCACCGGGTTCGGGACTCGAACCATGGTCGACTCCATGGGAGTCCAGCAACATAGCCATTATGCTAACTGCTGGTCCCTCACATTGTTTTATATAGCCCAAACTGAGTAGTATACTAAACCTCTTTTTAAAAAAGAACTATTTAATTTTATTATTATTATTATTATTTATTTTCTATAGGTCATGCGCTCTCACCAGAGAAAGTCAGAGAGAGAAGGAAAGTGAGAAAGAAAATCATTAGGTCCAGGACTCGAACTGTGGTTAGCCATGCAGGAGTCCAGCACCTCAACCACCATGCCTGCTGCTGGCCCAGTACATTTTCTATTTAGTGGTCTGGGTAAACTGTTTTTCTTAGCTATTCAGGTCTTGAGGCAAGCAGTTCGTTGCGCGCTCACCAGAGAAAGTCAGAGAGAGAAGGAAAGTGAGAAAGAAAATCATTAGGTCCAGGACTCGAACTGTGGTTAGCCATGCAGGAGTCCAGCACCTCAACCACCATGCCTGCTGCTGGCCCAGTACATTTTCTATTTAGTGGTCTGGGTAAACTGTTTTTCTTAGCTATTCAGGTCTTGAGGCAAGCAGTTCGTTCTGAATTTAGAGTAAGTTAGAATGCATTGTAAGATTAAGTCCTTTATCAAGCCAAGCTCAACTTTGTATGGGGCAGTATGACTTTGGATTATTCTGTTCACTTCATCAGCATACTCTCAGAAGAAATGCAGTAATGACAAGATGCATATTTCCTAAAATAGATTCATTTATTGTTGATAAATGATACAAGTTTTCATCTCTGGAGAATATTTTAATATTGTGCATAAAATAGAAGGTGGAATAAGATGACAAAAAACACTGCTAACAAAAGTTTTTGTTCTGGATACCATGATGACAAAAAATAACCATAACCATACCAATACCTAATGCTTAGTGAGGGTTTACTTCTGTGTGAGGCCCTAGGCTTATCAGTTTGTTTCCTGCATCCCCTGTGGATGCCCTGTGAAGGGTTGGAGGTAGCTTCTTAACAAATGAGGGAGAAGGAGAGGCTCAGTGAGGATCCTGGTACTGGTCAGGGACCAACTGGTTAGCAACTGACAAAGCAGGATTCCAATCCCAAATCTGCTGCACTCTAGCCCTGTGTGAAATCTTCCTCACTGTACTCTATCCCCCCTTTGTGTTTTGTCTGATATGTAAGTTTTAAGCATACTATGTTTGAGTTGTGTAGTAAAGAAATTTTGTAATTCTTCCAGAGGTTTTTCTGTACTGAACAGAGAGTACATTTTTTAAGGCTAATGCCATCTTTGACTTCTGAGGCTGGGAGTTTTCATTGTCCAAATTATCAGTAGTTAGAATTTTTTATTAGATATGTAGGTATACATAGTATTTTTCAAACCATTTCTTACTGGATTTACCAATAAATCTTCGATCTGTAATAGATTTTTTGGTCTTTTAGTTTGGGGCATAGCAGTCGATGTCTTTAAATGATTTTGCTTCCAAAATTGTAAGTATA